CCCGTCCCCATCCCCCCCCCCCCTTCCCCTCTTCACCAGAAGTTGCAGTCAAAACACCTGAAATCCTTACTGAAGGACTCAGTCCAAGCTCAATCAATGTATTCTGACTAATGCTTATTATTCTGTCCAATTTTCTTGCTTCTAAAGATGCACTCTTTGTTCTTGTCCTATTTTGTGAGGTTAAAGATCAATACTATGGATTTTTCCCGACAAACCCACCAAGTTTTTTTATTTTTTTATTTTTAAATCCAGACAACACAGGCTTGCCCCTTTCAAGGAGAAATGATCTTCACCTTCTTTTCAAAATCCTTTTAGCAGGCGTGTGTTTTCAAATGTGGTTTAGCTGTTGTTCACCTCAGTTTAATGATTTGATTTTATTTTTTGAAACCAAGAGCCCAATGGACAACACACTGAGTGATGAATCATACACATAAGATGATTGACCCACAAGTGCTAACACATGAAAGATGTGAAACTGTATGACACCTGACATTTGTGCATGTCATTCTCTAATCTTCTCCACATACTCACATATTTTCACACCTCCCACTTGAGCTGTAGCTACGTTTTATGCAGCTGGATGCAGCTCGCTGTCGGTGTAAAACGGAGGAGACAAAATGTATACCACTGTATGAATATTAAGGGCCCCGAGAGTGACCTTCATCATGTAATTAATGCTCTTATTTCAACCTCCTGACAGATACCAGCGTTGTTATTATTTGCAAATACTTTTTTTGTTTTTATGTGGCTTGCAATGGGAAATGAACCGTACGTAAAGCAGTACTCTGTCTATTCCTAATGCACCATTTGTGGTTTTTCTGCTCCACAGTTCAAAGTGTGTCCCAAGAGTCAGTGTGTGTCCACTCCGGGCCATCGTACCAACCTGTTCCTGCGGGACCCGGGAAGCGTCCTCATCACAGATTTCTTTGGGAGTGTCCGCAAAGTGGAGATCACCATGGAAACCATCAACTTCACCGACCATGTCAAGCAAGTGGAGAAGAAGTAAGTTGTATTCATCAACTTGTTACTAGTGGATTGTTTTCACTCAACTTTCACTTTATGTGACAGTTACATTGGGCAAATACTGTCACAGTCATGGATGGTCTGTACATATTGCTTTGTCAAAGCTACCAAGTTCAAATAGCACTTTGAATACTGCGCTGTGTATATTTTACTATATGAGACATAGCCCAGGGAAAAATCCATCAGATTCACAACTGTCTGCTTAAGCTTCTTACTTGACTTAAAGTTAAATGTAGACTGACCTTTTTAGTGAAGGCCATCTTTAAACAATCTGCCACTCTCAACCAGGTTTGACAAATCAGTTTTTTCCTCCTGGCACTATCTTAATATTTTTTTAATGCCCAAAAAGGTGCATTAGGGACAACCTGGGTGTGAAAGCCTTAAGTGAAGGCATCCTCCTTTTGTTTTAAATGAAATGCTGCGGGCTACTTTTGTTTTGTTCCAAACAGGCTGGACTTTGATTTCTGTTTAGAGCATTTCTCATTTGTGATATTGTTTCCTGCTCTTATGGTGTGTTGAGTGGTCTGTTTCAGGGAGAATACATCTCATGGTGGATGTAGCTGTGACCTCCCTGTAGGTGACATTATTGTTTGGCATAATAACAGAGTCAATTTAGACTTCGATAGATATTAACAGCTTTTTATAACCTGTGGCAGCACTTGAAGCAGCATGTGACAGCAAAGGGAGGATGATAATTGGACATGTTCACTGTCTGTTTTCAGGCTACAATTCAGTCAGTCTCCATACAGTGAGTGCCAGTGAATGAGCAGCTGTAATGGATTATCTGTGGCACTACCTTGTGGTGAACTGGACAACATGCATCAAAGTCCCATTTTATTACAATTTTTCCATTGCATCAGATTTCACATGCTGTGATAAGTACATATGGTCACTAGATGGCTGTAGTGTCAAACTCTGAAACATCATCCTCTGAGTGTGGTGACATGTTGTCTCATATTCGCCAGTTCCCATACACTAATCCCATAATAAGGACGTCACTCTGAGTTTTGGGAAAGCTAATGCAGCCTTCCAGACTGTGGTTAAGGAATTGATTAGAGTTCTCTACAAACATCTGTGCTAGAAATTAAAACTTTATTCAAAATTACGCTCCCCGACTTCTATTAATTCTATTAAGCTGGTCTTTAATTGAACCACTGGGAGGTTTTACAGTCAAAGAATTTAATGCACTTGGCTGCTAATTAGTAATTAGAGGCAATTGCCATACTGATTTTAGTCATTGGTTGTTTTGGCTTAAGGCTAGTTAGTGATTTCACACAGCTTCACATATTACTTTGTTATTGATTAGGGGCCAACACATTAGTTCCGCTGATCCCCTCATGCAACACAGAAGCACAGCACCAGTGTTACGCAGCCAACTGTTGCTCTTGTTCACTCCTAGAGAGAGAGACATTTTATCTCCACTTCCAAAGTAAGAAACCAGCGATGCCCTGATTCATTTGATGCTTAATGGAGCTAAGTTTACTGATGCACCAAAGAACTAGCAGCATTTTTCTACTTTAAGGAATGATTGCAAACACTGCTGTGAAAGTTCAAATACATTAAAGAGGCTAATGACACTTTCTGTCATTTTGTATGTCACATTAGTGTTTCTTCAGCCCCACTCAGGCAAGATTAATCTCACAGGGAGAGGTGGTTAATGAGCAATGTGCTGTGACTGTTATACCGTAGGTCTGGACAACATTTTAGCCATTAGCAACTTGCAAGATGTTGTACACACTCTGCAGGAAAACCATAGGGCTTATCAAATAATTAAATTTTATATCATCATTAATATTAACATTATTAAATCATTTACTGTCAATTTAATTGTTTACGCAGATGGTCGCAAACAACTCAAATGGCTCCTTCTGAATATAAGAAGTGGTGTTAGTGACCTGCAGCGCTGGATAGAGTCTATAAAAACTACTTGGGCTGTTAGTAGATCAGGGTAAATTATACAAAGGCAGATTAGACATGACAGAATTATTTGAAAAATGAAGTTAAAATAGGCTGAATGTTATGAGCAAGCTGGCATCTTTATTTTTCAGCTGTTACACCAAAGTGAAATTCAGTAACAAAATCCACCTTTATGCAAAAACACATACATTTTAAAATGCAGTTTTACTCTGGGCTTTAAAAAGACCAGCAAGTGTGCCAAAGAACAGAAGTTAATTGGATCTGTAATACTTATTGAAATATGGGGTGAAACAGCAAATTAGTGCTTGGGACAGGGTTAAAAGTCGTGAAATGATTAGTGCTTCATCGGTTGTTAGGTTGAGTAAATAATCAGCATATCACAACCATAGTTTTTCTACGTTGTATTGTAATTGTCCCATCTTCCTTTGACATATATAAGTGCTACCTTGAAATATATAGGTATAAAATTAGCATTGGGATCTTTTCTCATCTCCAAAACTGTCACAACAGGATGATTATGAAACCTCTGGCTGGACTAATAGCATTTCATAAGGCCTGAAAATGGGCTGCAGTGAGTTCTGCGTGTTCCCTCAGAGAAAAGATCACAGGTGTCCTCTGTAACAAGCCGATATTAAATATAGCTCTGCTTTAATCCACTTTTGTCAGATCATTCAGTCACTCAGACAAGTGCAGGAGGATATTTAAAGAAGAGGGGTACGTGTGGGTGCATGCAGGCCTACCCTCGCACTCTCATTGTTCTCTTTAACTCTGTTCTTACTAACTCGTGTCTAAATGGCATTTTACTGCAGAACCGGCTCTTCCATTAGGCACTTGATAGGGAGGATTTTTTTTTAATGGATCCTCCTGAATCCTCTTTATTTTACATTAGCTTAAAGGTGTAGTGACATTGTGTAGTTAGTTACTCACTTCCAGCCATAGGTGGTTGTTGACTAAAACACGTTGTCCTGTGGCTCATCTGGCTCCCAGGATAATTACGACGATCAAAGCTGAATTCATATCCCGCTGAGTTATAAAATGAACCTTACATGGTTTGTGGCCTTCAGCGCTGGTCTACAAACACTTAATGGGCTATTAGTAGAGCAGATGTTAAAAGGAAATTTGTTTGACCTAAATAGATGGCAGCTGGAGACAGCAGGGAGGTGTTGGTCACATCCACTAGAATCAGCTAAGTGGATTGAAAAATTCTCTCCAGAAAGGAGAGAAAGGATACTTTGAATTGAATTAGAGCTCATCTCTGTGCTAAGTAATGGGGCGAGGGTAACGGCAGTGAGTTGTCTGTGCCCTCAGTGACGTTTCCAGTGTCAGAAGGAGGTCGGCACAAATAGAGGGCTCAGCAGGAGATCGTCTCCCTGCCTGCCCACCCTTCCTGCTTTCTTCAGTCTGTGCTCCTGCCTGTCAACATCTGTCCTACCGCACAGTCATGCTGAGAAGAGAGATGGGCCGTGGAATAAAGTTAAATGGATACAAATAAAGAAGCAGGAGAGCAAAAGCCAGAGAAAAATGCAGAAGAAAAGGAAGTCGGAGAAAATATTGACTAGAATAGAAAGGAGAACATGTTGCTTCAGCCTGCAGGTGGTTGGAGGAAAGCCATGGTGGCTTTCTTTGTCAGCAGCTGTCTGACCCGAGCTTTCTTTGATTAGCCAAAGACATCCACTTAGTTGAACCTCCGCTCAAATGTGACCTTTAGCTGAGACCTTCTTCCTGACTGTGTGTCAGACTGTGATGTTGGAGACAAACAGATTTTCAAAGAAGAGACCCATGAAAGCATGCAACCATTTCGAAACTGCTCATGGTGACTGTGAGAGGTTGCTTTTTATTATTATTTGTTGTTATTGTGTTTTGTTAGAGCTTACAAAGTTGGTTCAGTTGTATGCTTCAGTTTCCCATAAAATAAAGCCAGTATACAGCTTAACACAAGCCTGATAGGTCAGTTTCTTATTAATGCTGTTCTGGTTGTTACCAGAACTTTTATTTCATCACTTGGATGTAAAGATTTCTAACATTAAATAAAGCAGATAAGTGAAAGTAATGCTATGGTCCAGTGGAGTAAATCAGCCAGTAGTAGGCAGCATATTTCTGCATTGCATTTGTGTGCGCTTATCCAGTGTCTGGTTTATGCTGATGAGGAAAACCTTGCCAAAGTAAGAGCTATTGAGATATTCTATATTTTTGCTATTGTCAATAAATCTCATGGGGGAAAAAAAAAACCTTTTCTTATTACTTTCCGATTTTCAAATTTTTACAGATAGTGTGAGGTCGCAGGTTTAATACATTAACTTGTTTTAGGGTCATGTTAACAATTGTCATCACTTTCCATGTGCTGAGCTTTTTTCAGTGTCCTTGAGCAAAGTATTGAACTTAAACTTACCTCAATAATACGTCAGTTTTTTAAGAGCATCAGTTGATTTGGTTTAATGTCAGTTTATTATTCCTAACCTACCATTTGTTATGTTCTTTAGGGTCAGTTTTCCATCTTTGAAAATGGAGAATAGTTTTATTCTTCCATCAGGTGAAGCAAATGCATATAAAAGCAGTGGTGGAATAAGTACTCAGACGGCACATTTAACATTCATTAATATCATATTATTGGATTGTAAATATTGATGCATTATTATGTACATCACATTTAATGTTGCAGCTGGTAAAGGTGGAACTAGTTTTAATTGGCTTATGTTTATAATTAGAATTACTGGTGGGAAATCATTAAAGTTTATGATTATACCGTCATTTTTGTACTAATCTGGTTCTGAAAATAACTAGTAACTAAAGTTATCAAATAAATGTAGTGCCTCCTAAAAGCTGCACAAAAACAATATGCAAAAAAGAAGGTTCCTCAGAATTGGACTAAGTACAGTATATGAGTAGATGTACTTAGTTACTTTCCACCACTGTATAAAAGTAACCTGTCTCTCACTAAGATACGTCTCTTGTTATGGTGTTGTAGTGGTAGATGGAGAGATCTACAACCCTCGGGTACCAGTGCATGGTTTCCTCTACATCCCAGTGATTTGTGTTTACTTTTGTTTTGTTCAAGGACAAATGTCAGGCCTACTACCTCTCACCAGGCATAAAATACTGTAGTACTTACAGTAAAAGTGAAGTCCCGAGGCTGCGTATCATAACCATGTTTCATGTATCTGCCCAGTGTTGCTAACACAGACTCCCCATAGACTTCCATGCGATTCTCGCTCTGCCTGAGGAAGAGCTCCATGTTTGAAAGATTCTGCAATACAGATTAGCTGTTAGCGGAGGCCTCTCTTGGATCGTCTTTCAATTAAGTGCCTGTATCTGTGCACATATAGATCAAATTAAGTTCTCTCACTTTCCTACATTACATTTTCCTGTCTCCTTTCTTCTGGCTGTTTATAAAATTAGAGAATGAGATGGCATGGAGAGCTGATGATTGCTGTGTAGCATCAAAAACAAACATTAGCTGTATGTTTATCTGTTCAGCAAATTTAGTGCCAGCCACGTATGTGCATCGAAGCTGATTCTGAAATTCCCTCTAACTTGATTCATTGCTGCATTTATGATCACTTGGGTTTTAGAAAAACATATGCACCATGGGTAGTAAAGAGCTCCCATAACACCTTTTATTATCATTAAGTAAAAAGCTGGTGAGTGGCTTGCTCAAAAGGTGTATCACTTTAAAATTGTGTTTTGTATGTTTATTTTTCTGTTCATTTGTATATAGAGTTCAGTAGTGACATACACAGGATCACATCCATTATTATCAGTCAATTCAATTATGTTTCCTCAGGATGATTTTATTTTCATTTGTCTAGAGTAAAAAAGAGGTTCATTTGCATTAATTTGCACTGCATATCATTGACTCGGCTCTGAAATGATCTGTCAATCACGCACTCCCCTGCTACACATACACCACCAATAGAAACACAGCAGTCTGTTCTTCTTCCTAACAGCGTTCCTTCACCACCGAGTAATGGTGTCACACATAACAAAAGCCTAATGTTTCCAAAGTGCAATTTACTTACTTCAGGTAAATGTTAATGCGGCGCTGTTTTGTGTGTTTTGTCTCGCAGTGTTGTGAATGAAGAGCTGCAAAAAGAGACGTACTCTTATGTGGACCAGCTGCCAGTGTCTGAGATCATCCATCAGGTAGGAGGCCCGTACAAACCGCGTGAACCAGCCCATGTTAGTGTAATCCAGATGTTTAACATCCTTCTGAACATCCAAGTTTTTTTTTTTTAAAGCCTTTGTGTAAACAGACATTTAGTCAGGCTCCTGTGTTTGTGTTATTTGAAGTGTGTCCACTCTCGTCCTTAATTTGGACAGAGAACAGAAAGTTATGTGCAACATCCACTAACAGATGTCTTTGTGCCGTTTCCATGGTGACGGCTCCAAGTGTGAAATGCAAGTGCCTCCTGGTCTCGGTGTGGCGGGGCCACCGTGAAATCCAGCAGAATGGATAGGCAGGATTGTGGCTAGAAATTGTGCGTTCACCTCATTCTCAAATGGATTGTGGTTTTCAGTCGGGCCGACCTTCACAAATGAACACCTATTCCTCCTCGTTCCACCTTTACAACATGCGCTCTGCATTCTAAACAGCCGGTCTCGAGTCCTGTAAAACACTTGATTTTTCCATTATGAGCCTATTAAAATACTGTTTCTATACATTCACTTCTACTTGTGCATCAGAAAAGTAAAGCAGTTGTATTAATCTTTGCCACAGGCAAGAGCAGACATTATGGGTGCTTAGATTTGGGGTTCAGCTGTGTCAAAGCAGAAAAATACAGAGAATGGATATATGAACATCTGCACCCTGTACTACTAGTTTGTGAGGCTTATGGCAATTTGTTGAGACATTGTTTTACAGATTGTTGTCAGCGTGTTTCGTGTTGCCCTGTACGTTTTCAGTCTCAACATTAAATTGACTTTTGTAAGCACTATTTAAGTTGGAGATTTTACATGGAATTGCATAATATTGTACAGGTATGTCTGTTATTGTGTTTGCCTTCTTCCTACTGACATTCATTCAGAAGGTGAACAAGGTGAGTTTTGCCTTTTAACAACCAAATGGCAAAAAAAAAGTCCTCTTTCCTAAAATGAATTGAACCAACATCCAAGTCCCCTTGTCATCTTCAATACCTTCATGTTTGATTTGTTAAGTGATCTGTATTGTATATTAACAGTGGATCAAATGAATACATGTAATGTGCAAGGTGTCGTTCGTAGTGAGGTGCCCCCGGAGAATAATCGCCAGCATTCTCGTGTCTTTCAGCTTGTTGTTTCGGTTTACAGTAACTTCACTGTTTTGATTGACTCTGAGCAACAATATGCAGCCGTTTTCAACAAAGACTCTAAAATGTCACTGTATAATACCGTACCGGCATCAAACAGCAGATGAAGTTGGCAGCTAACTGGTGAACATAGTGGAATATTTAGCAGCTAATCTGCTTAAAATTATTCTCCAGCTGTCTCAGTGACCTTGACCTTTGACCACCAAAATCTCATCAGTTTATCTCTGAGTTCAAGTGGACGTTTTGTGCTTAATTTGAAAAAAATTCCATCAAAGTTTTTGATATATTGCGTTCATAAGAATGGGCTGGTCAGACGGAAACATAATACCACTGGTTGCAGCTATTGCCGGCGTGGAGGCATAAAAATAGGGACTACATTGCTGATTTCAGTCCTGCTTTAAGCTAGCTGTGTTCTGCCCACTGACTGTACATATAAGCGGGACAGACCCACTGTGATGTCTCCCCCTGGATTTCTGAAGAGTAGTTTTGAAGCTGAAGTCTCGCTGTCGTCATATTGGTATCGTTTCAATCCACTTGCTAGGTCTAATCCAAAAAAATGGGCAAAGAAGCGGAGCGTGAGTGGAGCTTTCTAGACAGCTAGTGGCCAGCCACCTATGGTGGGGACCCTTCCGCCAGTCACTCAGAACAGCCATGCATTTAATTATGCATGACTTTGTCTCAATATAATTTTAACGGGCAAGTTATTAAAAAAAAAATTCACCCCTGTCCAGTTGTCGTGGCAGAGGAAATTAGCTATAGAGACCAAAACTGTTTTTTATATTGGGCTGTAAACATGTTTATTTCTGCTGTAAAGTTGGGCATTTTTACATGGAAGTCTATGGGGACGGACTCCTTTTTGGAGCTTTGCTGAAGAAAGTGTGACAGTTATGAAATTGCCTCACTTTAAACATTTAAACACATGGCAAGCCAGCTGTTTAGTGTGGTTTCCAAAACAACAGTCACCACTTCACTTGAAAAAGGTAAACGGATGTCTTGTGTGTTTCTGATTAGTAAGCAGGCACAGAGGCATCAAATTGTGAAGCTGGAAAAAAAAAAAAGGTCAATCAGCTTTTGATCTGTTCCTCCAGGTTCAGATTTCAGTGACTCCAGCAGAGCTGGAGCTGCTGACGTTTGATTTTGAAGCTGTGTTCTATATGTAGATGGACGCTGTAATGCTGCTGTTGATAGCAGAGTTCAGGCCCAGCTGTACTGAGGAAGTGGCTAAATAAATAAATACAGTAAATGAGTCCTGCTGCTGAAAAACTCACTGGCTGACATCGGCTTTAGTGTGAAAAAGGAGCCACAGTCTGCCATCCCAGTGAAATGTGCTGACCACAGGCCTGAGGCCTGTCAGACGATTATTGAGTACCGTGATGGGAAACGAGAGGGGTCTCCACACCCAGCGGCACTCAGAGAAATTAGCTGAGGTCTGCCTCAAAACCCTGGTAGACATGAGCTGGTTTCAGATCGGTTGCCTGCTGCTCACATAAGAATGCCCCATAAACTGTGAACGCAATTTTCAGCACACAGCAGCAGAGGCACTATAGAAAGCTTGAACACACACTGGCACAAACGCACCCCATTAAGCCAGCGTCATCTTCTCCTTGGCTTCGTATCTTGGCTCACTCTTCTGTCCTGCCCCCCCAGCGTATTCATCTTCATACATCTTTTTCTGTCTTTCTCGTATTTTGCACCCACACGTACAACACACAAACACACTCAACCCGCCGACCCCTGCCAGAGTTTTCGATTATCGGCTAGCACTCCTGCTGGGTTGAAGATGGGAGTCCTGACAGTTTGTCCTCTCTCTCTGTCTCTCTCTCTCCCTTGTCGTAGTGCATCCATAATGCAGCAGAATGACCAATGCCCATCAAGCCTATTGACAGCTCTCCTCTTTTTGATTAGCCGTCATATTGTTCGCAGCACTCATATCTTTGTATTCATGCTGCCGAAGTACTGTAGTGCCCTTTGGTGTCACTGCACAGATACACTGAAGAACTAGATGCGATTGAATCTCATAACATTTGATGTCTTAAATATCCCCAAGTGGTCTGAAGCTGATTTCAGTTGTGCCACCAACAAAAACTAATCTTCTCACTTCTCATCTTCTAAGAAAAAACATTTTTCCATTTGCCAGTAGACCAGGCAACAGCTTGTAAATAGAAAAGTCATCACAGTGACTGACAGTGGTTATATAAGGCTGTACTGTATGGCATCTGTATATAAACAGCCCCTCACTGTGTACATGGATGTGAGGAGTTGATTAATACCCTGTCACTGTTGGCAGTTGTCTTACTGGTGATGACAGGGTGAGTCCCCTCACCACCTTCTTCTCCCAACCTTGCACATCTCATCACGTTGCCAACGCCTAATCACAATATGTTCAGTGCTGGAAATAACTTGAAAGAGCTCTCTCTTTCACTCTCTTGTGTGTTCTACTTTTTCTCTTCCTTCGCTGCTGTGAGTCCCAGTCTCTGGTGTCAAATTGTTATTTGTTCCTTCGCCAGCTTGACGCTGCACCATATGGCTCCAGACAATAGCAAATGGAAACAGTGAAAATGAATGCTTTGCCTCCCCCCTGTGCCTCGCCAAATCCCCCTTGCTCTCACTCAGGCTGCAACAATGACATTTTTCCAAAGTGCATGTTGGGACTGTGCAGATCACAGGCCAAGCCCACTGTAACGGGCTCACTCAGTTTAATTATATATCAATTAGAGTTTCATTTGCTGTTCAACAATTACAATTAATATCCTTTAGAAAAGCAAAACATGCCTTATGTGAGAATAATGCATCTACTACTTCTACTGTCATAGCTTTAGTTGAGGGGCTTAAATGTCAAGGCAATACAGTGGAGTGTCCTGGCAGCGCACAATGGCTGCTGCTCTGTCATCTGGCTCTGCCCAACAGAAATTTGCTGCAGTTTTGACCTTGGAGTGTTGGTGTTTGGCAGCATGTTTCATATCCCCTCAATGACCATTAGCATCCTGCAAAGTCATGTTAATTAGCTTCGATCAATCAGATGGGTAGTCATTAATTGATTTTTCCTGGTGAATTGAATGCACAACACAAAAACATGTGTATAGCAGGCAGGGAACTTCAGCGTAGGTCCCTGTCCTTGGTTGTGGGATATGAATGGTTCCATCAGTGAAGGTCGGCTTCCTGCTTGTCTCTCTCTCAGCTGTTTTGTCTTTTCTCTCACTTACATGCCTGCTATTTTTTTCCTCTGCCTCCCTAATGTTTACTTTTCTTTATCTGGAGAAGCAGCATTATTTTCAGTGTGTATTTCTTTTCTTCGGGTAAGTCACAAACTCATAAATGTCTGAGGCCAGGTTAGATATTTTGTGGACTCAATTTCTGTTGGACTACGCAAGCTTTATATTTGAAGGTGCATTAAGTAAGTTTTTTTTTTTTTTTTCCCACAGTCTGCTAAATCCAGTGAAAATGAGCTGGAACAACAGCCCTTCTGTTGTTGTTCCAGCTTCTCCACCCTGTGTTTTCAAAGTACGGACTGTAAATTAGCCCCGTCTGCCACCTAGCTGAGGTTATAAGAAGTGTTTATTGAACCATGAGCAGTCATTTCAAACATCCAGCCATGGAGGAGCTCTTGGTGCTGAATGTCTGAAACAGTGGCTGCCAGACTTAAGAGGAGATGGAGAGGATTAAAAGCAGCTATAATGCATGGTCATGATTTTACCTCTGTGTTGAATTAATATTTTAACTTGGGAGTAATTTAAGTTTCAGTAATTGAATTTAATTTAAGTACTCCATTTTTTTTATCTCATTTCACAATGAGCATTCCTTTGTCTGTCTGCATTGTTTACTGCCTGTTAATACTGCTTATTTTGTTATACTAGCCTT